CAAGGTGGCATCAATGGCCCGGGCTGTTGTTTCACAGCAGAAAATTAAATTAGAGACAAAACAACAACAAAATAGCGGAGACCGCAACAACAACCGACGCTCGCATTGATGAGCGCTAGTGTGAGAGTCTGAGATAGTTGCAACTTCAGTTTAAAAGAGTACAAAGACAGAAAAATGGTGCAGACACAAAGATGAAGCTTTCTAGAGCGCATACTTTGAAAGGCTACGCGCATGACTGTGCGAGTGCGCATACACTAGCTTAAGAATGTCTACTTCGGCCTCACGGCTTCTTTAACAGGGTCTTGGATCTCTCAAAGTGCACATTCATCTCATAAGAAATCAAAGAATAAGACAGAGAAATCAGGGCAGAGCAAGAATGTGTTTATGGCGGATTGTGGTGACAGTTTAAACCCATGTGTGACCCTAATCAAAGTAAGGCCAATTCCACAAACCCGCAGAGTTATGAGGAGATCAATAGAGAAACCACAGTTACCGACACACAACAACACACACATACATGGGAAACATTCATCATTCAATCACATCAGTCTGAAACATCCAAAACCTTGACTGCACACACACTGGCCCTTCAGAGTTCAATCTCAATGAAAGTCAGTGAAAAGCAATATTAAATGTGTTCTGAGTTTGTCACACCACAGAAACAAAGTGTTATTAACCACCCAGCCAAATTTGAATGCTAAATAAATCGCCACGTAAATAAAATAAGTTATCAAAACCACACCCACTCGAGGGAAAGCCACAGCCTCTCTCAACTGTCAAATACCGCTACAGGTAACATGCATTTACATGAAGAAGGCATAGCTAGCTAGCAAACTGTAGGCTGTAGTAACTAATGCTAATGACAGTAACGGGTGAACCACTGATGCCAATGCGCTCTAGTTATTATAGTGTTAGGGGAGGGGCTGTGCTCAGTGGCTCCAGTGTGTCATCGAGAAATGTTTTCAGGCCCGCCCAAAAAATCCTGAACACAAAAATGGTGAAAAACTGTTTAATGTTCTGACTCCACTATTCAGTACTACATAGTTCACAGTCTTTAGTAAGTGTTTTCACAGTGTCTGAGTTTGTCACACCACAGAAACAAAGTGTTATTAACCACCCAGCCAAATTTGAATGCTAAATAAATCGCCACGTAAATAAAATAAGTTATCAAAACCACACCCACTCGAGGGAAAGCCACAGCCTCTCTCAACTGTCAAATACCGCTACAGGTAACATGCATTTACATGAAGAAGGCATAGCTAGCTAGCAAACTGTAGGCTGTAGTAACTAATGCTAATGACAGTAACGGGTGAACCACTGATGCCAATGCGCTCTAGTTATTATAGTGTTAAGGGAGGGGCTGTGCTCAGTGGCTCCAGTGTGTCATCGAGAAATCTTTTCAGGCCCGCCCAAAAAATCCTGAACACAAAAATGGTGAAAAACTGTTTAATGTTCTAACTCCACTATTCAGTACTACATAGTTCACAGTCTTTTGTAAGTGTTTTCACAGTGTTTTCAGCAATACATTTCTAACATTTATAATTTAGAAACAATTCTCTGAATTGCCTTACACAGACTTTAAGGACAGGAAAAACAAAATCTAGAAAGTAAAAGGAGAAATGCATGGGTCTAAACTAGTGCTGTCAAACGATTAATTGCGATTAATCGCATCCAAAATAAAAGTGTTTCTTTACATAATATATGTGTGTATACTGTGTATATTTAGTATGTATATATAAATATACACACATTCAGTATATATTTTGAAAATATGTCCATGTATATATTTATATAATTGCTGTTATATATAAATATTTTAAAATGTATAAACTTAACATTTTTCTTAAACATATACATGCATGTGTGTGTATTTATATATACATAATAAATATACACAGTAAGCAAACATATATTATGTAAACAAAAACTTTTATTTTGGATGCGATTAATCGCGATTAATCGTTTGACAGCACCAGTCTAAACCTAAAAAGTTATAGTTATTTAAAACTAAAACCACACACACGAAAAAAATGTTACTTAAAATAAAATTTAAAAAGCTTTTTTTTTGTTTCAGCTAGTTGTCTAAGCAACATTTCTCATTTTCAACTTGATGTACAAAAATAACTAAAACTGAAATAAGACTAATAAAAACGATAGACATATTTAAAAAAAACTAAAAACAATAACTAATAAAAGACAAAAAACTAAATACAACAAAATTACTAAAACTTTAACTAAAATGAAAGTAAAAACAGAAACTACAAAAAATAAATCAGCTAGTTGCCAATGCAACATTTCTAATTTCATTAACTTAATGTACTAAAATAACTAAAACTAAAATAAAAATTAATAAAAACTATACAGACAAAAACAAACAAAAAATAATAATAATGACAAAAATTAAGTTACTAAAACATTACATTATATACATTAACATTGAATCAAAAAATCTAAATAATAATAAAACTAGAATAATATCTTGATGCTAAAATAACACTGTTTAAACGGGGAAAGAGCAGACATTTCATGTATTGAGAAGTGAGCACAGGAGTGTGTGTATAACACACACACACACACAGAGCGGGTCCGATCACCATGGAAACAGCATATAGACTAGCTTTGTTGAGTTGTTACATAATCAAAGGGCCTCAATGGATGATTAGGTGGTTCTTTCTATGACTAACCCTCTCAAACAGCTACTCTCAAGCCACAACACGTGGTCAGACTGGACATCGGTTAAAACAGCCTCTGCCATCTTAAGAAACATGTGAATCATTATAAAACCAGTCTACACCCAAAAATGTAGAGATGCTTGTGGTGGAGTGTGAGTGAGTGTGTTTAGGGTAGACCAGATGCTTTAAATTCTCTGAGGTCCATGTTAAAATACACAGATGAAAATATGTGAAATGTTTCAGCTGAGCGCAAATACAGTGGGTATAGAAAGGACCCCCCCCCTTTAAAATAATCACATTCAGCTGTGGTCATTTTGATCAGCTCTGCATGAAAAGAGCTTTCCTGGAGCATTTCAGCCCTTGGTAGTGCAACAGAAGCAAACAATCAACTATGGGTGGCAAGACACTGTCAGAAGATCTCCAGGAGAAAGTTGTGGACAGACGCACAAGCGCTTTTGAACACTACTGTAATATGCATCGTTCAGAGGCAAAATGAAAAGAAAATACCACGTAAACTTTTCTAAAGGCAGTCAGTTCCCTTCAGAGATACATTCATATAAACTCCTACTCCAATTGTATCGCGGTTTGTTTGGCATCTCAACCAATTTGAATCGTTACATATTTGAATCGATTTGCGACCGGCTCGCGGTTAATTGTTACATCCCGTACATGAATGTGTCCAAATGCAGGAACCGTGTTTTAAAAAAAAATGTAATTAAATAAAAAAATTTTATGTGAAGCGTGTCATTTGTATGGTACTAGTGGCACTGAATGGAACTTCAAAAATATTTCCCAATTTTCCCAATGGACAAACAGGTTGTCCTGACCAAACTCACACCATTACATAAATAAACCCTTTAAAATTTCAGAACAAAAATGACACAATTCAACTCAAACTTCAACTTTGTTGGCGTCAGGAGTATTTGGGTCATTGTGGGTCAATAGTTTGGCATAAAATTTTTTAAACAACAACAAAAAATACAGTAGTCAAATGCTGCGTTATTCATTCAAAATATTAGAGAAATATAGAAGCTCAAATGCAGAGAAGTCAGATCTTGGTTAGGTAAAAACCGAAACCAAGCCATTCACACAGATGCCTATTCAGCGCATTTTGACGGACAAATATGACTGCTGCACTCGCGTCTCACACAAGAGATGTAGCCATGCAAAGTTAAAATAGTTTAAACTTTTAGAAAACACGTCGCGAATTTGTGAAGGTTTATTCCTTTTCAATGCGTCTCATATGTTTTTAAATGCAATCTGCGTGATGGCGGGAGACAAGCCAAAAGTTTCCTTAAGACCTATTTAATCTGCATATAAAACATTAGAAATTAGATATTTGTTTAATTTTTATTGTGTGTTTGACTGTTAAAACAAAAAAATATTTGTTGTTCGTCCAAATAAATTGGGTTAATTTAAAAATACAGTGGTTAAATTTAAACATTTTTTCTGTTGCTTTTTGTTTTAAAAAAAGGTTATAAAAATGTCAAGAATTATCGATACCGAATGATATGAAACATTATATCGTTGAAACATTTTTTAGCTATATCGCCCAGCCCTAGTAGTCAACATTTGAAGTGGCTTTCAAATTTTAACAAATAGTCAAATGATCCACTTCAAATGTTGACTACTGTATTTTAACAAAACTGTTTGACTACTTGTTAAAATTTGAAAACCTTTTGTCTGCCAAATAAAAGTCATGTGGTGCAACCAAGATGCAGAAAATGCAGAAAAACATAACAGGAAATTATATCATAAAGAAGAACCCTCATTACTGTGTCATTAAAGCTCTTAAAATTTTTGATAATTTGATCTTTTTATGGCAAAGCATGGTTAGTTTAGGTAATAAAATGTCATGTAGTTTGACTCCCTAAAAACATAATTATATTATATTTGAATGAATAATTCATGATATTTATAAGAACAGAAAAAGCATTTTTTAAAGATTAAAAAAAGACGTTTACACTCGCATGCATTCAAGGAATAAGAAAAAAAGGGTTATTACCTTTTACTTGATGGTTGCACCACATGACGATATACAAACTTCTCTTGAAAATGGTACAAACACAAAAGTACATGACACCAACATACATTTCTTGGAACTTGTTACATGTGTTTTAAACTAGATTTTTTATTTTTTTTACTCTTTTCATTCTCGTGGACACTCAATTTGTCACTGATCATTAAACACATCCTTTGAAATTAAACGAACAAAAATTAGGTATTCAGCAAAAGGCACCATTTTTGATCATTTATTCATTTAGTTGGTCAGAAAATGCTTCACAATTGACTCTGAATCTTGATGGCAGATATCAACAGGTTGTTTACCTTATATCCTGTGTGTGTGCGGTTCTTCGTATGAGGTGTGGTGGAGCACAGTTCGATTGCTTCTGGCTCATGAAAGATCACTGTAGGCAGCTGGTCCTTCCGGAGCGTCAGCACGTTGAGTTTGGTCTTTAGCATGGTCTGTAAATGCTGAAAAAGAGAAGAACTCAGTTTAGGCTACAGCTTGAACATGTTTAACAAATACAGATCCACAGGTGCCTCTGTTTAAACTCATAAAACACCACTTCCACAACCTGCATGGATGAAAGAACTGTTTGCACATAACATCCAAGTTACTCCATAAAGTTTATGGCACACTTGTGTGATATTACACAGACGTCTGTCTCTCTCTCTCAGACCACTCTCATTCTGTAATGGAGTGTTATTTATATATAATAAATACAAAATAAGACAGCACTCACCCCCTCAAACAATTTGCTAAGGGAGATTTAAATTATATTCATATAAATTATACAGGGAACCTTCTAACTTATACATTGCACGTTACAAAAATATTATATTTAATATAATTTTTTTTTTTAAATTAACAACAGGGATTAAACAGAAGTTCAGTGGGCATAATAATCACATCTGTGGATACCAGCTGAAGCTGGTATTTGGATTTCTTGAGCAAAACTATTGGTTTTCATGAAATCATGAACACTTCAGTTCTTATAAACTAACACTTATAAACTCTCATTAAAGAGTATAGAAAGTTTGCGAGTCTTTTTGAATGATTCATTTGTCTGTGAATTGGACTACACCGGTTGTGCTGTATATTACTGATTCACTAAAACAAACCAGTTTAAAAGAGTTATTTGTTGCTGAATCACACTTAATTTAAACTTGTTAAAACGTGTTAAATGGAGTGTACTACACGTTTACTGTGACAGCATGACAAAATTAGCCTAAATATAAACTAAAACATTTATAGAGCAGGGTGTGGTTCTTGTTAAATACTGGGCGTTCAGATTCATCTGAATCAGAGCCATTTGAGTCAAAGATGATAGAAGATTTCGAAGGGAGAGAAGAAAGTGAGGAAATATGGAAAAGGGGGCGAGCCGAGCGAGTGAGACAGAGGAAACGAGTGAACGACAGAAGCCACATGTATAAACGCACCCTGAGCCCAGAATCAGCACTTTACAACTTTCTGAGAGAAAGAAACATTCCTGTGGTCTGAGGATAAAAGAATAAAGAGAGAAACAGAGAGAAAAACAGAGAGAAAGAAAGAGAGGTTTGTTCAGGGGAGGGCGAGGTGCTGAAACAAATCTGGAATTTTATTCATAATATTTTGGCTGCGTTTAATTTTTATTCTGTCAGGAAGTCCAAAAAAAAAAAAAAAATCCTTCAGAGACTCTATTTACAGCTTATTCACCAGGGGCCGGATTCACGAAAATCTTCTTAAGAAATAAGTTAAGAAATTTCTTAAGATAAATTCCACGAAGTTCGTAAGAATGTTCTTAAGTGCAATTCTTGAAAAATTCTTAATAAGTTCTCAAATATAAATAAATCGCATCATATGACCCCTTTAAGAAGAAAATGACAGTCTTTATCGGAGTGAATAGGCTACATGACGCACTGATAAACTCACACTTTATTGTCTTTTTGCGCTTCCTGCAGATTACCCTAGTAATCATAATAAACACGCACACTATTTTCGTCGCGACTTTGACTGGTGCTCAGCTTCACGTTTTTAATGCGGCGTGTTTTTGAACAGTTACTTTTAAAATAGCCTGTCTCAAGCTGAAGCGATGTTTCATTTATTTTTGTGCTGTGTTTTTGCGCTCTCATCTGAGTGAACGCTTCCGGTATGTGTTTTTTCGCGCTGCTACAGCAAATGTGTCCTGTGTATCGGTGCGTTCATATGCGCTGAATACTGCCAAAGATTATGTCGTATTTTTAGGCTAAAATTAAAACCGTCCAATTAAAGCTCCCTATCTGACTCGTTTTTGTAGAGATGCTACTGAGTTTTGAAGTCAGCAAAAAGTAGCGTCACACATAGACTAATCATCATGACCAATCATTGTTTACATCAGGGGTTTTCAACCTGTGGGGCGCACCCATCAGTTAATTCAGAGACGTTCCCTTGATAATTCATGAATATGAGTTAACAAATCTTTAGCCATCCACTAGGGGGCAATCTGACTCCCACTGCTAGTCGACAGTTAGAGTAGAGTTGGCTCGAGTATCAGTCACGCTCAGTGTTGCCAAGTCCGCGGTTTTCCCGCGGAATTGGGCTACTTTAACACTTGCCGCGTTTTGTAGTTTTGGGCTAGTTTTGAGTAGCAATTAGGCGGGTTTTGTTGTGAAAACCTGGCAACCCTGGTCACGCTTATTGACAGTGTAAGATGATTTACGATTAGCCGTGTCGGAAATCCAACCACGGATTGGCATGTTATCTCAGAAACAGGCTCAGCCATCACATTGAATCAGGTAAACTAGTCATATATTTATGTTTCAGTATAATTACGCACGCTATACCAGGGGCGGTTCTAAACCCTTTTTAGGTGGGTTTCAGCACCCCTATCTGTCACCTTAGCCCCCCAAAACTATCTTAACGATCAGGCCAGTGCTGCTTCCTCGAGAAAGTTTTTCATTCTCACGTGTTTTAAGTCTTGTCAGTTTAAACATTAAAGTAATTTTAAGCCATTTAAGCCCAAGACATCTCAATGCGGTACTCACGCACTGTGATAGAGCGTTTCTATGCGCACCGCTCACACACCTGAAGTGCACAGACAGATAGCCTTCTCAGACAGCAGGTGAATACCAATGGCTGTCTTGCGGACTGATCACTGTACTTCAAAAAACTTGTGCACATCCCTATTAATAGTTCTACTATGTATTATATGTTGCTAGTGTTGTTGTAATGCTTAAATATAACAATTAATTTGAAATAACCCAATAAATTCATTAAATAATTCTTACTGTTTGGGATTTAAAACAAGTCTGGGGCTGTCCGAAATTTAAGAAGTTATTTACGATGATTTTTAAGAAGATTCTTTTCAAGAATTTGAATTCTTAAGTTTTGTCTTAAAAACAATCTTAAGAAAAAAGTTTTGGGAATACAAAATATTCTTAACTTTTTTCTTAAGTTAAAAAATAAGAAGAAAATGGCAGTTAAGAGAAAATTTCTTCTTAAAAATCTTTCGTGAATCCGGCCCCAGAAGACTATAGAGATGGAGCAATGGACACCTTCCATGAAAAACCACATGTGTTTGTTTAACTGCAGTCATTGTCGTGTCCTGCTCTTTATTTGTCCTCAAATGTTTACCAAAACATATCTGTCTGCATTTCCACAGAGTCCTAATAAAATGACAATAATAAAAACAATGACAATTCAAACTTTTGGTATGTCGACCTTAAACTTCCCTTCCTGAAATAAGATATTGTTTTCCAAACTTTACCTCCTACAGAGCGAAGGGTTACTCTCCAGAGAGAGAGAGAGAGAGAGAGAGAGAGTTTCTGAGAAACGGGGGGACATTCTCAGAGTAAAGTCCTCATTTCAGGAAAGCTCGACACACATTTTCTCCATTTACTTCAACAGTGGATGCACGTTTCTGTAACATAGGTGAGTTTTCATTGTGCTGATCCGCAGGAACAGTTTCACTTCTGTTTTTAGTGGCCAAAAATAACAAGTGCTGAAGAAACATCACATGAGCTTCAAAAAGAAGCTTTAGTACCAAAGCAAAGAGAACGGTCAACAATTTTGAATTATTTTGGATTTGCTAGACGTGACTAGTAATTGCATGTAATGAGAACACTGTGACCCAGCAAAAACAAAATCGTCATATATTGGATATTTAACTGTACATGCTCATTTCCCTTATTTTTATATTCAGATTACATGTGCCATTAATAAAAAAAAAATGCTAACGATTAAATAACAAACAGCAAATCTCAAAATGCAATCTATTTTTCATATTTTCTATTAGGCCTGGGCGATAAAACGGTATCGATATTTATCGACGGTACACCCTCTTCGATAACGATAGAAAAAATGTTCGATATAGTGCACGATATAGTCACAATGACGGTGAGGACCCGTCACGACTTTGTGGAGGTTTATTCCGTTTCACTGCATCTCTTATGTTTCTAAAGGCAATCTGCGTGATGGGCGATTCGGCTCTTTGTATTAAGCAGTGCATAAATACATGATGCTGTATACATATATATATATATATATAATACACACATACATATAATACACACATACATACATATATATATATATATATATATATATATATAAATAAAACTAATAATAGACTGAACTGATTATAATAGGAGAGCTCTATTTTATGCATTTTGACATTTTATAATTAGTTTGTTTTTTTGTCGGATTTTTTTAAAGAAAGTCTAAAAACATATTGTCAACAGACTGTGTTTCTATCCCTCACAGCCTCATATTCTTTAACATGAAAAATGGCCTCCATCTCCCGGCTTACAAAAACGCATTGTTAGACTTATTTTAAACCTCCAAAATGTTTCTTACATTATCTCTTTGCTGAGGTCTTCACTATGCCTGCCAATATCTGCTACAATTCGATTCAAAACAATGTTCCTGACCCAAACTGCTGCCAATGAGCTTCACTTAATGACTTCCACACCTGAACTACTAACGCCCTGAGTTTGTTGTCTCCAACCAATCTTTAGGGCACAGCACAGTACCACAGTGAATTAAGCCAGTGGTTCCCAAGCATGTTCCTCCTTATAAGTACCCAATCAAAGGCTGTGTTTACACTTGGCATTAACATGCGATCACCATGATCCAATCAGGCAGATCGGATCATCAGTCAATCAGGACATGGCGCATTTACACTTGACAACATCAAATGACTTTTATCTGGACTCTATCTGGATAACCGATCGGATCTCTCTTTCCCGCGCAATATTTAAGTAAGTCTTCTGACAGTTCGGGAGAGAGGGGGCGGGGTTTTGCGTGACGTCGACCTGCGAATGCAGACATGATGGCTGGATTGTGTTTACATTACACTGATCCGATCACAATGCTTCCTCGACTACCTCTGGACCAGGACACGCTGATCAGAAGCGCGTTTACACTTGTCTTTTCAATGTGTAGGTGTATACAGGTTGCATGTTTAAGCCAAGTGTAAATGCAGCAAACACACTGGAATGCACTCATCTGTTCA